CAGTTCTTTCAGAGCTAAATTATGAATTTTTTTTGCTTAGTTGTTAGAGTTAAAACAAGGTTAAATTTTTTTCAAATCACTATTTATAATAAGGCCTCTAATCTATCTTTCTCTTCTTCTTAGTTCTTCAGACGTACTTCATTTTCCTAATATTACTAGAATGCTTTCTTTTTTCTTGCTAGTATTACTCTCTTTTTCAAGCTCTTTTAAAATTAGCTCTACTTCTTGTTCTTCTATATTATGCAATAATCTGTGTAAAACCTTGCAACTAACTAGATGTTCAATATTCTCAGTTTTCTTTTTACATACTATATATTTGTCCATTTTAAGTTAGTGATCTTTCCATTAGTAAATAAACTTTTAGCTTTTCCACTTATAACTAAAGCTTTCCGATAAATAGCAGTTATGAGAATAGTGCAAGAGAGGAAACCAGTTTCCAATCCACAATTAAGACTAAAGACAAACAAAATATCATCACTCATTTTCATTAAGAACAGGACAACAATTAATACATAGCCAACATATGCAGGTGGTTGGATGTCGTTATTTAAGTTAGCAAAGTATGCTTCAGTAACAAAGTTTAATATTAACTACAATATCAAGAATATTAAGATAAATTAATTTTTTGAGACATACAAAAAAATGCAAGTGTATATAAGTATATGAAAATACCCTTAAAATCAAAGGTGCAGCAACAATTAACATATCACTAAAATGCAAGTGTACATAAGCACATAAAAAATACCCTTAAAATCAAAGGTGCAGCAACAATTAACATATCACTAACAAATTTACAAACACTCGACAAGCAAAATTTAATATACAAAACTCTAAATAAAGCTTTTAATAATGATGGTTTCTTACCATTGCAATTTTTTGAATTTCTTTTTGCCATTCAACTTCAAATTTGTCTGTAATAATTTTAGCAGATCTCTTTTCATTTAAAACATATAGATCATCTTTTTCCAAAGGACATTTACAACCTAATCTCATTAAATTGTTGGCCCACCAACAAGTAATCAAAGAAAATAAATTGGCCTTTGCCTCAGGAATTTCAATGTTTGGACGAGGCAGATTTAATTCCTCAAATTCCATTATCATAATTCTAATGATAATAATATTATTAAAATTAAAAAAATTCTTTTAAAAATTTAATACACTTGTACTATGAGTGGCGCAAAGCGCTATTCATATTTTTTTATTTTATATTTTGTTTGTTTTTTTTAACTATTTATTCTTAGTAGAGCCACATCATCTGGAAATTTATGTTATATTTATAAAGGCCTATTGTATTGCTTATTCTTTTATCTGTTACTAGTACCAGTACATACGATCACGTTTTTGTATAACATGAAATGTACATAGAGGGAGGGATTCTGTTCAACTTTTTTGATATTAACTATGCTGATTTTTGCAAATTCCTTTTTTGGTGTAAGTAACAGTTTTCATTTTTCCAATTAACGTTAATTCAAAATTAACGTACCTGAGTTTAAAATTTATACTGATTAAAATGTAACATAAGTAGTTTTGAAAATTATTCTAACTAATATGTAATGTACATGCATACGTCAATTAAACTCAAGTTTAAGATAAGAATTTAATAAATTAGATTGATTATAAAAAAAAAAATTCTGTTATTTTATCTTCCATAATATGGCTTCAAATTCTTCACTAGTTTTTTCGTTTCTTTTATTTCAAAGCTTTCAAAAAATCATTAATGATTACATGAACAATTGAAAAAACGAAAAATATATAACGAATCGTTTAAAGTATACACTCTACCCTCACTATAATGGACCCTTCGGGCTGAAAGATTTTGTCCATTATATCCATAATAAATGAATATTCATTATAATGTTATATAATATAATAATAATAATTTTAAATTGTTGCTCTGTTATAATAAGGTATCTGCTATATTTGGGTCCGTTATAACGAGGGTAGAGTGTAATCGTTGCCTGGCTATTTTATGAAACACTATTGGGTTTTTAATGTATTTAAATTAATTAAAGTTGGAAGTATTGATAGACTGAATAATAAATCTGATAAACATAATCGTGGAAAATCGACATGTTATTTAGAACTGTCAAATGATTTATAATCTTAATGGAAAAATGATATAAAACTAAAAAACGCGTATTAATTTGAAACCTGGTGATCTTGTAAAGATTCAGATTCCTGATATTGATAGGCTAAAAATGGATAGCGACTAATATCAAGTTGGAAGCAAGTTTGGAATTTTGGATACATGGTTTTCAGCAAACAAATTAGAACCCTTAGGTACTAATGAAATTTCCTGAACTTGATGTAATTTCAATGGGCAAATTTATTTCTTTACGAATGCTGGTGCTCAACAAAACTTAACCCGACCACTAAATATTACATATATAACATCCAACCAAAAACTGAACAAGGGTTAAAAAAAAAATGAGGCTGTCATTTTAATAAAACAGATTGTGAAGGTTTATATTCATCAAGGTACATCAAAAATCATAGCACTTAGCATTGTTTAATCTTCAGCATGTGAATTTTAACAATTGTAATAAAAGTTAAATACAATAATTAATAAAAATAATTTTGATTTTTGTTGCGAAATTTTTTTTTTTTTTTAATCGATAAAATCATACTGATACCGATTAAAATATGAAATACTTTAATTTACAATTTTGAACCTACGTACATTATTTTTTAATTGACGGAAATTTGAAAGTGATGTCTAACATCTATACATAATTCAAGATTATGTAAAAATTACAGTACGTCAAGAATACAGCATGCTATAATTGTGTGAAGCTACTAGTACAAAAGAATTACGCACATTGATATATCATGGGAAAATTATGATCGAGAATATACGTAGTTGTGTGAAAAACAATTGTGTGGGAAAATAAGGCTAACTCTGTAATTATTGCATTATCATAATTCATAATTGACTATGAATTAATAACTGTGAGATATCAAGGGTATAATTATTCTTATTATAGCTTCTTGTGTGATAATATCAGAGTATATATGTTTTAAAAAATTGACATCACGCAAAGTTAACTAGGTAATAGAACATATACTGTATTATCACCAGAATAAAAAAGTTTTTTATGACTTTAATCACATTACAGTAAATTGAAAAGCATAAATAAATAAAAATATTTTCTTGGATTCTAAATTTGCATAAATTATGACAGAATTCTAAATTGGTTAATTTGTTGAAGAATTTGAATCAATTTAATACCAGCATATTGATTTAAAATTAACTCAAAATAGTTAATAATTTGCATAATTGATTGGCTGATCTTAAAATTACAAATAAGGTAATTGAACTTTTTTAGAACCCAAATGAACTAATCTTTCTTCATATGTGGTTTCGATAATTGTATTTAATGAATTTTAAATTTAATACTGAAATCATATTATTCTGTATAATAAGCTATTTACGTTCATTAATGAATTTACTTTCAAATGATTACCAGATAAAATGAATGTTCTTACAGCTCAGTTGTTTTAAAAAATTTACAATATAGAACTATTTGATGAATAAGAATATTATCTCTTTTTTTTATAAAATATTTTAGTTGTTAATAATGATAAGCCTGTCAATGAAGTAACAGAGTGATCATTATTGCGAAATTAGATGACTTTATGACCGGTCATATTACAGGTTTTTATATAGCCTTTTGTGTTTATTTTTGACTATTGTTGTAACGTGTTTTTTTTGTTATGGCTTATTGTTAGGTAAGAGATAATGGCCAATAAGATATTTAAGGCTGGTTGTTTTGGTAAAGAAAAATATCTTTTTCTTCGCTATTGCTCACTTTGTGAAGGCTGGCTCTATCATTTGTATTATATATTATATATCATATATCATATATTATATCATATATATTTCTTTTGTTTTAAAAAATATAAAATAAAAAAAAAGTTAAATAGCTGCATTTAGCATATAGTATTTTCATACGTACATAAGTAATTTGAAGTATGTCTGCGAATTGTTCAATGCATGCCGGGAGTTGGACAAAGCTAACTTTGACTGAGTTGAAGGACTTGTGTGCAGCTTGTGGCCTCTCCGTAGAGAATAATAAAGAAGAGCTAGGTAAAAGACTACATGCTTATTTTGACAAGAGAAGAGATAAAGGGCCGGAGGTGCAGTTGAAGAGGAGTAATAGAAGACAAGAACTGGGGCCCAGAAATGCTGATGATAGGACAGGAAAAGCAGTAGATGTGGACTTGGATGAAGATATAGGTGGTGAGGTTGAGGATGATTTAGATAAAGACTCACAGAAAGCAGATAATAGGATTAGAGAGGAATTTGCAGCGTGTTTTAGAGGAAAAGAGAAAGTAAAGTCAGTTCCTGCTGACGTTTTTCTGATTGCTTTAAATAGCATTAAAAGAAAGATGGATAGGAATTTCTCAGCATTGTATAGGGAGATTGAAGAAGGAGATGTGTTAGATGAAGCTTGGCCAAAAGTTAAATTATCAAGACCACGTAACCAGCACGAGTACGATTTTTTGGCAAAGATTGGTAAATGTTTGGATAAAACAATCAGGATGTTGCCGGAGTCTAATAGAAAAGAAATTGTTGGTGTGCGTGAGAAAGTTGAATCAAGGGCTGCTACTCTGAGATTAGCAGATAACAGAGGATGAGATACTGCGTTGCAGATTGTAGAAAGTAATGATAAGATGATGGAGAAGTACAAGAACCGTATTCCTTTATTTAGCCAGGCAGGGCAATCTTCATGCTCATATGAATGGGGTTATAGAAGAAAAGCTTGAAAGTATCAGTACAAAAAAAAAAGAGAATCACCTACTTCATCTAATTCAGAAAGAGATTATTATGAAAGGAGCAGAAAAAATAAGAGAAGAATTTTGTCCTTTCAGAGTAGAAATTTCTATAGACCCTCAGGCCGACAAGGGTCAATTACTTGCTATAACTGTGGAAATATTAGACACATTGTTTCAAATTGCCCCTTCTCAAATGCAAGAACCTCTAGCAAGCCCAGAAGTCAGAATTGATTACACTTGGGCTGGACTTGTAGAGAAGGATATGTTGAAAGATCAAAGGTCAGTTGTAGGAAGAATGCAAGCAGTAGATGCTCTAAATTATTGGCAGCACAATATTGATCTGTCACTAGTAGTTATGGATTGGCTGAGAAATGAAGTTCCAATATATCCAAAAGATGTGTTAGTATTAGCAGCAAAGCCTGTTCCAAATCAGTACAATTTGTCAGTAAAACAACAGAAATGGGTAAAAAAGGAACTAGATTGGTTGATAAAATCAGCAGCAATAGGTTGTTTGGGGAATCAGGTGGGAAGACCCGAATTTTTACTAGAAGTAAGCCTAGTTTTTCTAGTGCACAAAAAAAGACCAAAGAAATGGTGAATGATTATAGACTTGAGCCATTTAAATACGATTCTTCCTGAGAAGAGTGTGTGTTTTAAAGGTTTGGGTGGTTTGCTTCATACAATAGGAAAGGGGTGGTATGTAATTACATGGGATCTAAAGGATGGTTATCACTATGTGATAATGAGAGAGAATGCATAGCGTTTTCTTGGGTTTCAAATATTGGGCAATTGGTATTATTACAAAGTTCTCCCTTTTGGTCTCTCACAGGCTGTGTGGATTTTTTCCAAGATTATGCAGGCTATAGTAGGTCATTGGAGGTCACTTGGTTTATTTTGTGGAAATTATTTAGACGATTTTTGGTTGGCACATCTGTCTTTAGAAACCTTAATCTCAATAAGAGATACAGTAATAAAGGTGGATTTAGAGAAATGTGGATTGATAAGAGAAATGTCAAAGGGTCAGTAGATTTCATCTCAGCAGGTAAAGTTTTTTGGCTTAATAATAGATACGGTAAAAGCACAGGTTATTGTTCCAAAAAGCAAAATTTTAGAAATAAAGAAATTAATGTTGGAGTTGGTAGAGAAAGAGAAGATTTCAGCTCACAGATTGGCTTCAGTGGCAGGAAAAATACAGTCACTAAGCAGAGCATTTGTACCTGCAAAGGTTTGTTGTCTAGAGTTCTATTTATTAATAGATGCAGCAAACAGGAGTCTATGGCAATGGGATGCATTTGTAAGTCTGTCAAAACAAGCACGGGAGGATTCAAGCTGAGTGGCAGAAAATTTGAAAAAGAAAAATAGTTGCCTAGCTTGGAAGCCATCAAGAGTAAGGCGAGTCTTCGTTGACATATCTACAATAGGATAGTTATCCATTTTTTAAAACCCACAGAGCATTCGGAAATTGGAGTTCAATAAGGTCTCACAGGGAAATTACAAGACTAGAGACAGAAGCAGTAATTTTGGGGTTGAACTCCTTTGCAAGACTGCTACAAAGTTTATGGATAGACTTGCATATAGACAACCAGGGTGCTATTGGAATAGTTTTAAAAGGAGGCAGGCTACCATGGCAAAAGGATTTACTAAGAAGATTGTGGACTCTGATAGACAGATGGGATATTTGGATCAATGAAGTTTTTTGGATACCTTCAGAAAGAAACCTAGCAGATGATTTAACCAGAATTTTGGATGAAGACGATTGGTGCTTGAGCCAGACAATTTTTAATCTTTTAGAAAAGAAGTGGGAACCACATATAATAGATTGCATGGCAAACTATCAAAACAGCAAACTAGCTCGTTTCAACAGCAGGTTTTATTGCCCAAATTCAGAAGGTATAAACTGCTTTACTCAGGACTGGTCAAAAGAGAACAATTATATATGCTCACCAATAGCACTAGTTCATCGGGTTTTACAGCATATAATAGAAGAGAGAGCAGTAGCAACAATAATTGTACCCAGGTGGGTCTTAGCAGCATGGTGGCCAATGCTACTGCACATTCAAGTAGGCATTCTAGTTTTGTCTCCAGCTCAGATATCATTTGTAAAAGGGTTTTTAGGAGAAGTGAAGCCATGGAAGAACCCAAATTGGCAGTTCCTAGCAGTAAGAGTAGGTTAGTTAGTAGGTTGCTTGTGAGAGCTCAAGCTTTGAGCAGAAGTCGGTATCAGAGGATTGGAATCGGCATTTAGATAAGGCATGAAATATATATAAAGATTATTGTAAGGTTATGGGTTTAGAAGCTTTGCCATCAGAGGTAGATATACTTGTATCCTTTCTTGTTTGGCTAGATTTAGCACATTCTTTTTCAGGTTATGTAGATTTTCTTGTAGCAGTTTCGAGAGAGCATTTGGAACATCATTTTTCAGATCTATCAAAGGATTATAGAGTCAAAAGAATTTATAAAGCATTGGTAAAAGAATATAAAAAAGATAAGGAGCCAAGGTGGCCTCGTGACCCTCTAACAGTTTCTGCTTTAAAACAATTTGTAGACAAAAAGCCACATAGTATGAGTAAGAATTTTTGGATACAAGATGCTGCTTTGGTAGCTATTGGGTTGAGAACAATGCACCATCCTGGTGAATTATGTAAATTGAAATTTAAGAATATTAAATTCGGAAATAAATTATGCTGGGTGTGCATAAGTTCCTCCAAAACTGATCAATTTGCAAATGAAAAGTTTATTCCTATAGAATATACAGATAGTTGTTACTGTCCAGTTAGATTATTAAGAAAATACTTGCAAACTAGGCCAAAAACTACTGAGAATGAACCTCTTTTTCTGTCAAACCAGGTGAAACAATTGACAGTTGAAGCTGTTGGTGCTATTGTCAAAAGGATAGCATGCAATGCAGGAGCTAGAGGTAGATTTACAGCTCATAGCATTAGGATTGGTGGTGCAACAGCAGCAATGGAAGCAGGTTTGTCGTTAACACAAATACGAGCTATAGGTAGTTGGGATAGTAAGGCAGTTATGTTATATTTGAGATTCGTTGGAACAGTGAAGTTGCAGTTTTCTAGGAAAATGGGATTTGCTAATTAGCGATCCTCTTTTATTCCCATATGTTTTTTAGCTTTGTTAAATAAAATTGTTCAGTTGTTTAAATAAAGTCATCTGATTTAGCAATAATAATGATAAGCCTGTCAACGAAGTGACAGGGCGATCATTATTGCGAAATCAGATGACTTTATGACCGGTCATATTACAGGTTTTTTATGTATCCTTTTGTGTTTATTTTTGACTATTGTTGTAACGTGTTTTTTTGTTATGGCTTATTGTTAGGTAAGAGATAATGGCCAATGAGATATTTAAGGCTGGTTGTTTTGGTGAAGAAGATTATCTTTTTCTTCGCTATTGCTCACCTTGTGAAGGCTGGCTCTATCGTTTGTGTCATATATCATATATTATACATTTCTTTTTGTTTCGAAAAATATAAAATAAATAATTAAAAAAAAAAAAAAAGTTAAATAGTTGCATTTAGCTTATAGTATTATCATATGTATATAAGTGATCTGAAGTATATCTGTGAATCGTTCAATGCATGCCAGGAGTTGGACAAAGCTGACTTTGACTGAGTTGAAGAACTTGTGTGCAGCTTATAGCCTCTCCATAGAGGGTAATAAAGAAGAGCTAGGTAAAAGACTACATGCTTATTTTGACAAGAGAAAAGATAAAGGGCCGGAGGTGCAGTTGAAGAGAAGTAATAGAGGACAAGAACTGGGCCCAGGAATGCTTATAATAGGACAGGAGAAGTAGTAGATGTGGACTTGGATAAAGATGGAGGTGGTAAGTTTGAGAATGATTTAGATGAAGACTCCCAGAAAGAGGATAATAGGATTAGAGAGGAATTTGTAGCATGTTTTAGAGGAAAAAAGAAAGTAAAGTCAGTTCCTGTTGATGTTTTTCTAACTGCTTTAAGTAGCATTAAAAAAAAGATGGATAGGAATTTCTCTGCATTGTATAGGGAGATTGAAGATGGAGATAGGTTAAATAAAGCTTGGCTAAAAGTTAAATTATAAAGACCATATGAACAGTATGAATACGATTTTTTGGCAAAGATTGGTAAATATTTGGATAAGGCAATCAGAGTGTTGCCAGAGTATAATAGAAAGGAAATTGTTGGTGTGCATGAGGAAGTTGAGTCAAGAGCTGTTACTCTGAGATTAGCAGATAACAAAGGATGGGGTACTGCATTGCAGATTGTAGGAAGTAATGATAAGATAATGGAGAAGTACAAGGACCGTATACTTTTATTTAGCCAGGTAGGGCAATCTTCATGCTCATATGAATGGGCTATAGAAAAAAAGCTCAAAAGTATTAGCACAAAAAAAAAAGAGCATCACCTACTTCATCTGATTCAGGAAGAGATTATTACTCATAGCATTAGGATTGGTAGTGCAACACAGCAATAGAAGCAGGTTTATTGTTAACACAAATATGAGCTATAGGTGGTTTTGATAGTAAGGCAGTTATATTATTTGAGATTTGTTGGAATAGCAGAGTTGCAGTTTTCTAGGAAAATGAGATTTACTAATTAGCGATCCTCTTCTATTCCCATATGTTTTTCAGCTTTGTTAAATAAAATTGTTCAGTTGTTTAAATAAAGTCATCTGATTGAGCAATAATAATGAAAAGCCTGTCAATGAAGTGATAGGGCGATCATTATTGCGAAATTAGATGACTTTATGACTAGTCAAATTACAGGTTTTTTATGTATTCTTTTGTGTTTATTTTTGACTATTGCTATAACGTGTTTTTTTGTTATGGCTTATTGTTAGATAAGGGATAATAGCCGAATAAGATATTTAAGGCTGGTTGTTTTAGTGAAGAAGATTATCTTTTTCTTCACTATTGCTCACCTTGTGAAGGCTGGCTCTATCACCCACCCTTACCCACCCGAAGTTAAGCAAGAAGAACTATTGTTATGCCAGGCTCCATGGCTGTATAAGCAGTACAAAGACCTGATGTTTTTGGCTGCATAGCTGCAGTGGCAGTGACTATAGTTATGCCAGGCTCCACGGCTATATAAGCAGTGCAAGGACCTGATGTTTTTGGCTCCATGGCTGCAGTGGCAGTGCAAGGACCAATTTTGAATTTGGCTCTGTGGCCACAGATTGCAGTACAAGGACCAGTTTGCATATGGCTTTGCGGCTGCAAATAGCAGTGCAATAACCATAATAAAGATACTTCGCTTATATTAGCATAAACATATATACCGATTCTCTTTGTAGCTATAAGAAGATTTGATGATTTCCTCAATAGAAGGTATTTTGATTGGTGTATTATTTGTTTGGGTTTTCCTTTATTTGTGGGCAGGCAGGGCATTAGTTGTGTCCTTTTCATCTGCTGTTTTGATATATGGGTCTTTGCCTTGAAAATCAAGTATGAGACATATGATTTTCTATATTCAGTAACTCGATTTTTAAGGCAAAGACCCTATATCTATGTCTTTGTAGTTGTGAATTTAGTTATATATATTAGAGCCATAAAAGGTAGCGAACCTTTATTCCTATATGTTTTTCAGCTTTGTTAAATAAAATTGTTCAGTTGTTTAAATAAAGTTATCTGATTGAGCAATAACTAATAATAATTAAAAATTTTACATAATATTTATACAATTCTGAATATTTTCTATTTTTTTTTCCTATAATTTTTTATGCTTTTTTTTTTCTATTTTATTTATTTCTATATTATTTTTTATATGTTTTTATATTTTTTATTATTTTTTATTATCTTTATATATATATTATTTATTATATTTATTAAATATATTATTATATTGATATTTTAATATTATAAACTAATCATAATTTAATAGTTTTGAATACATTCAGAAAGTTAGAATTAAGTTTGATAGTTTGCTTTTAAATATCTATTCTGATAAAAATAGTTTCGAATTATTCGATAATAAGTTAAATAATTGAACTAAACATAAGCTAATTGAAAATTTAAATTTATTCGAAATGTTTTGAATTAAGCAAATATTATTCAAAATATTTAAAAATAACA